ACTCATACATTTAAAGCTGAAAAACTGAATTTGACAAGAGATTATAAAGCTTTAAGAGAAATGTATTATGTATTATTAATGCATTAAGCATTTCTGTTCCAGACAATGTCCTCGTGATCTTCCTTGGACTTTTATTTGGTTCAACTTAGACTTTTTTAGACTGTATTCTCTGTGGACGATCCTTTTTTTGGAACAGGATGAAAGAGTAAACATCAAAAGCAGCAGTGAGGATGAAACTAATGAAGCAAGGAGAGGGAACGTAGCTCACGGGGAAAAAGGGAGCATCAGTCGATGTTATGATGATATTATATGGGGGAAAGTGCCACAAAGGTGCAGACAAAAATCACAATATGTTGGTTGGAAATAGAGATGTAGTGACCTTCAGACGGCAGATACCGCCTCAAACGCTTAATGACAAAAACCACCAGACCCCAGTGACGCAAATAATGAAGTACCTGCAGCAAAATCCAAGGATAAGAAACATGAAAAGATAACTATAAAATGACGACATTTGTATTTTGTTGTTGCCCCAGCTTCCGCTCCCACTTGACTTGCTGTGATCCAACTGTTACATAAGTCTTTAATCCAGCTGTGCTACTTCTCCTCTCCCCTTCCCTCTCTTCTCTCTCCTTTTCTCCCGCCACCGTAATCTAAATCCTAAAAAGAAACAACCTCTTCCTCATTTTTTATCTGCTTTTAACACCGACAACATCCTAACACAGGCTTGAAACGGTGTCTTATAATGAAACCTCTTTGTCCGGGGTTGCGCTGCAGGAGAAAAATAAGTCTTTTGATGCAGATGCTTTGCTGTCTCTCTGAAATCAGCAGGGAAAAGCTTTTCCCCAAACACAAAATCCTGTGTGTTTTTGTCACCTACAGCCCCTGTCTTTCTCCTGGTCTTTAAGGGGGGCTGCAGCCAAGAATAGACTGCCCTTAACCGTTGGTAGCCGCTAATGTGGCAAACAGAGATCCAGCAGGTTGTGTTCTGCCCTTCAACACCAGCCGGGGGACTCAAAGAGCTGTAAAGTTGCTAGAAACCTTTCCAAAGCCCTTCAGCACGCCGGGACTCTGCTGGCAGCCATTTGATCAAAGAGAGACACGGCTGTCTTTTCCCTTTTATCTGCTGAGGTTGTGAGAGGTCTACGCAAGAATAGCAGTCATACATTCAAAGATAAGAGGCAAAGCAGGGTGAGGACTGAGGGGGGGGGGTAAGGGTGAATCAAGCTGCAGACAAGAGAAGCAGTGGAAGATATTCATATTGTTTTGTGAAAGTGATAAGGTAAACTTTATAAATAAGAGAACATGTTTAAGCCCCTATAAGATAATGTGTATCTTTAATAAGACCAACGGCATCTTCCTTATCCAGATCCTGACCTCATGCATTTCTTACGCTTTGTGCCCGTCTGAGGCATCATGCCGTGGCTATTATTATTATCAGGCGACAAATAGCACATACAGGATCTGTTCAAACCACATGAGATAATTTCACACACACACACACCTATTATATACTGTATATCTTATTGCATGAAGGCTTAGCCATTATGTTATGCCATAAGACAAAACAAACTAAATGTACCATTTAAACTTCATGCGTTGAAAAACTCCATGACTTCGTATTTCTCTTCACCAAAACGATTTACTGAACTGTGCAGGCTCAATTCACTGGTAACTTTTCTTGGAACCGAAAACAGGCTTATACGTTTTCCTTCTCATTATGAAGTCCTGGACTGAATGGAACTGAATAATTACAATTTATTAAAAAAAGGTTACGCTGACTTCACAGTGACAGCTGAAGCACCAGATGGTCAAGATGACGGTTTGACTATCAGACAAATCATAAAATTATCTCAAATAAAAAACAGAAATCTTGTTTGAACAGATGCCCTAGCAAACCATCTTCAAGTATCATACCGCCAATATTTTTTGGATGTCTAAAATGTATAGTTTACTTCCAGACTTATGCTTAACTAGATGTTCTCTTTTATTGCATTTCATTTTTGATAAACAGTGTTTCTTTACATTTAAACATATACACCTATTTTTTCACAAACCTGTGTACATTAAAGCCCTTTTTATTTTTTAAATGAAATTGTCCAGCTTGTTGTCCTTGTTCCTAGCTGTTTTGTCAATTTGTGTGCAATTTCATAGATAGGAAAGCAATACACTCGAGTAAAACTCCTTGTATACACTTGGCTAATAAATGGTGATTAAATTATCTTAAATTATTTTTTGTATTTTGAATGTTTCCTTATTTTAGTGTCAAACATTGAATGCCTGCTTCCATCTTCATCGACACAAATGGCAACACTGGAAATAACTTTATTACAGTATCCTATCCACAAAAAAGTATAATCAAGAAATATATACAAATGTACTCAATAAACAAAACCAATTACAAGCAGAGTTTGCCTAGCTTGTGCAACATAAGTGAAAAAGCCTTATTTCCTTCACACAAAAATAGTCCAAAACAGTTATAATAAAATAACAAAATAAGAAGAGAAAGGCTCATAAACTTGTCCGCTGGAGTAAAGTTATCAGAAGTACATCCTTTCATGCCTGAGGAAGCTTTACTTTTTGAAATAGCAAAATTAATTAAAGTATGTGAGGGTGGCTTCTTTTGGGCAGTGACCTTGAAGGGAGTTTATTGCTCTCTCTGTCCGGAGAAAAGGCCTCTTGCTGATCACATGTTAATCACCCTGCATGATGTAATGTTTGTTCTTCTATGTAACCTCATTAAGGGAGCAGCTGTTCAGAATATGGCGGGGTTAATGGAGGGTAATACAAGTAATAAGACGTCCAGATATACATCAAACATCCCTCCAATTCTGAATCAATAACTGGATAATTGAATTAATGATTAATCCCTTGTCTACTTAACAGTGTTGCAGAGGGATGAAGAAGGGTGAAGAACAAGGGGCGTGTTCATTGACCCTCCCCTCCTTCTCCTCCTCCCCTCTTCTTCACCCGTGGATCTGATTTCCCCTGACATTAGTCCTGCACACACACACACACACACACACACACACACACAGATAGTTATCTCCCAGCACCTGAGGCAGGTGAGGTGAAGGGTCTCAGACTTGTAGCAGATGTGAGGACCCTCGAGGCGCCCACTCTGATGATCATCACCAGACCTGTCACCTTGTCTCCCTGCAGACACTTCCTTCTCTAATTCAGCCGCCCAGCCAGCAGCTGCTTCCTGCTCCGGCTGATGAGCGGAGACTGCTGATGGCAGAGATGTGTGAGTGTGACACCAGAGCAACCAGTAATGTAGTTACAGCTCACCATCATCTGCTCTGTTAATATGTGGACATTTCCTGCTATTAGACAGATCTCTGATAACAAATAATGATGTGGACGCTCGTGTTTTCTCTTGTGTTTTCTGCAGTTAGTTCAAAACAAAGCGGCACACCCTGCTAACTTATATCTGTGGTGGACAGTAACTAAGTACATTTACTGAACGACAATTTAAAGGTTCATGAGTTTTTCAATTTCTTGAAACTTTATGATTCTACTCCAATACATTGCTACTACACTGTATTATTGATTTTACTTCATTTTCCTGATGTCTTGAGATACTTTGAAGTTTGTGTTCCCAATGTCCCTTAATCAGCGGTAAAAAAAAAGTACATTTAATCAAGTAATGTACATAAATACAACTTTGAGGTACTTTACTTAAGTATGTATTTATCTGAATGTTTCAGTTACTTTGAAGATTCAGATTAAGATTAATATTATAAAATATAGACAACAAGTAATTGAACATGAATAGGTATAGGCTAGATAAATAAAATGTTAAAACCTTGGGGAAATACAAGCTACCCAAAAGCGTAAATAATAAGCCTTTTTGAATACTCTTGTACTTTTACTTAAAAAAAAAAAAAACGTTCAAATCTGAAAGCAGCACAAAGCATTTCTACTGTATTAAAACTACTTTTACTTGAATTAACTATTTGAGTACTTCATCCTCCCCTGATTATTATCAATAGTATGCACTGGTCTTAACTGGCTAAACGTTGTTGACAGGATGATTGCTGCAGTTGTACTGATGGAGTAAGATGGAGAGTTCAATCATAAATAGTCCAATTAAAAATAAAAACATGATTTAGAGTCATATGCCACCAAACAGGCATCAAAGAAACAAAAAAGCTGGTTTTAACCCCCCAAGGCAAACATTATTTTCTTTTTACACAAAGTTGTATAGCGATGCAAATATGGAATTCTTTACCTCCAACACATCCTAACATCAAAAAATAAATCAGTGTTTCAAATGAAAACATCTTTAAGGGATGCTATAAATATAAGGATTTGTATTTTTGTTCGGAACTATGTTGAGAAAGTCATTAGTGTAGGTTTTTACATACATATTAAAAGCTTTTCTCTTATGCATGTCTTATGTTGGCCATCTCCACTGTTTATTACATGTTTTTAAATGTTGACCCCAGGACACCCTTGGTGCTTTATAATAAACCAAAGTGAGAGTAACAACAACTTTAAAACCCTTCTACAGTAGGTTAACCTAGCAACTTATCTAGAGTACAACTGAGTGCTGCAGAGTCCCAGCCAGGCCCCTGAGCTCTGTGAGTCCTGAGTGGGATTTATTTCCTCTGCAGAACCAGGGGAAGCCATGTGATTGTTGATAGTGTGCATTGCATATTGTAGCTCTCAACAAAGCAATTTAACTGGGCCAGCCAAGTTAATTTCTATTCTGCACATTCACCGGCCATCCCTGCATCTGTAGCCACTGGCACATTCCCCATTCAGCTCCACAAAAACATTGTAAAGCTCACAGTCAATGGCCTGCCAAAGCTTCCCAGTTAAATGTTTATCATTGCAGATGAGTGTCCATCACCCTGTGCGTGCACTCTCTGTCCTGTGAAGACAGTGTGGTGCAAGTTAATGCACCGAAACAAATGTAATATGTATCATGCACTACATCCATGCACCTGCAGACACACAGCTACAGTTGTGACAGTGTTGACAGACGGGGCCCTTACGTATCTGCTGATGATGTTCCGAAGCTGGGTGAAATCCATCCTTAAGACGGCTCCGGCGGCGAGTAAACTGCAAAACGGAGACGCTCTCCTCTCCTCGGTTCTCTTCGTAAACGCTACCTAATTTGGATCTTTCCACCAGGATCCATCGCTCTCCACCTCTGCCGCCGCCACCGTGTCTGAGATAGCGAGGAGCAGTGGGCTCTCAGTCGGCTCTTCTAATTTTCATGGCATCCCCTGGAAGAGCCATGCAGGGACCGAGCGAACACACCGACCCACAGCCGCACTGCTGGCTACATCTCCGGGGGAATTTCCCCGACCTCCAAACGTCTGGGCGGGGATCCCGGTTACTCCTCGGTTGTTTAACTGTGTTATTCTGGCAGGAGACGGTCCCTCATGGAGGCTGTGTGTGTCCTGTGTTACAGCGGTGGCCCTTTCGGTGTAGTGGCAACACTCACCCGTCAGATGACTACGATGCGCATGCGCACTGGGGTTGTCCCTCACCTCGATTGGAGAACATTTGAATACTGCACTCAATGATCACACACACACATGCTTCAATCTAAACATATAAAGTCATGTCAAAAGATCTGAGAAAAACTACAGAAGTTATAATATGACTTTAATGTTGTTTATTTATATTCTTATTTTAAATACTGTAAGCTAATATTGGGATCATTCATTCAGTGGGTGGGAGCAGTACTCAAATCTTGCACTTAACCCTTTTCTTGCGTTTCGGGTCAAAAGTAACCGAGTGACTTTGTTTTTTATCATGAATATTGTGTTTTTCATCCAATTGCCTCAAGACCTTATATTATCCTCCACACTAGGCCTCAATTGATGATCACCACTTGCATTGATTTTTTTGTGATTTATTCAACACCCATGATGTCATGATGACCGCCATAGGAAATAAATGGGTATGAGTGTAATGTTCATCACACACATAAAAACATATACACACACACACACACACACACACACACACACACACACACACACACACACACACACACACACACACACACACACACTTACACAACAACATCAAGTAAAAGTACAGAGTACAAATTGAAATACTCAAGTAAAGTAAAAGTCCCTCAAAATTGTACTTGCAGTAGTTGAGTAAATGTACTAAGTTACTTTACACCACTGGCCTCAGTAAAGTAAACCAAACGATTCTATCACAAGGCGAATACCTGCATTCAAATTGCAGTGACATATAAGTAAAAGTATATAATATCTGCCAAATATATTTAATAAGTAAAGGTAAAGTCCCCACAATGCAGGCAAAAGTACTACGCAAATTATTTGATTTTTAATACTGATGCATCAACATGAAAGCAGCAATTTAATACTGTATCTGGCAAAGGTTGAGGTGATTCTGCATGTTTTATGTACTGCTGGTGGTTTGATTTACTGCATAACAATGCAACATATTCTATATGCTGAATCTCAATCTAATGCTGTATCTTTAGTTGTCAGATAAATACAGTGGAGGGGTAGAAAGTACACTGTTTACCTCTCAAATGAAGTGGAGATCAGGTGGAATAAAATGATACTCAAGTAAAGTACACACACCTCAGTTCTGTAATGTGAAATGTTCAAATGTCCCCTAATTTCTTTCAGGTCTAACTCTTTGACATTATTGTGCTGTCACACTTCTATAAATATGATATACATCGGTCAATCAACATGACAGTATATTTAACCTCTGTGTATATTTAGGCAGAGACATTTCACATGCTCTAAATGCCAGCAGCATGTTTCCATAACATACTCTGACTACACACACACACACACACACACACACACACACACACACACACACACACACACACACACACACACACACACACACACACACACACACACACACACACACACACACACACACACACACACACACTTACACGACGACATCAACTCAAAGTAATAGCTTGCAGTAAACACACTCTGTTCGGATGCTCGTTGGTATCACTTTATATTATGGCTTTCTTAAATTATATTGCGAACAACATTTTTCGAAGAAATATCAAAATTATCATAGCATTACTCAAATAAACATGTTAAAGGACCGAAAAACAACAAGTCTTCAGACAGAACAGATGAGTTAACAAAATAAGCAAAGATCAAGTCAAAGCTTACAGTCTTTGTTATGTAACAGCAACTGTAACCCTGCCATTGTTCAATCAGAATAAGAATACCTTTTATTATGTGAAACCTAACCAAAACCCAACAGAAAAAAAAACAGAACATCTAAATTTGTCTCCATCTAAGAGGATCCTCAGTCTGCAGGTGGATAGGTTGTGATGTCGGCCCCAGACAATTCATTTAAGGCGTTATGACTTTCAATTAGCACAGACTTTATTAATAATGCAATGCATAGAGCACTTTAAGGCTCTACGCTGCTGTTTACCTCCCTGAAGACGGGGCACTTGAGTCTAATGATGAGTCCGCCTCAGTGGACACATTACACCACGCTCTTTGTTTATGTGCTGTCACAATTACATGCATGTTGTGTTTCATGTCATGTTGTGGAGATAGGAGGGCCCCTTATTCTCTTCCCACTTATTGGTCACACCTACAGAAAGCATAATGGTGGGCAAAAGTTTTAAATAGCTCATGCAGTGCCAACACAGCAGCTATGAGAATAACAATAATGTGTTATAATAAGGCAGAAAATGCTGACTTATTGGAATAAAATCATCTCAAATCCCTGGCTTATAAAATAACTCATTATATTCAGAGACAGAGACATATATATAGTTTATTTATTCATATTCCTAATTTTTTTCATTCATACTGTATGTGTTTATCTCCAGATGCGCTGTGTTTATATTATCATATCGTTTTTTCATTGATATCTTATATATATAACTTTTGTTATTCTGTGAACTCTTACCTGTCCTATCCTGTGTAACTCCTATTGCTGTTGCTGAATTTCCCTATGAGGATTAAAGGGGCCCTCCCAGCTAGAAATGTTTGGTTCTAAAAACATTCTGAGAATGTTACCATAAAATAAACCCAAACCTAGACATACAAAACTAAAGACGTGACATAACATAAGAATCGTGACATCATTGTTCTAGGAATGTTTTCAGCGGGAAGTTTTAATTTGGTTCCCAGAATGTTCTTCTGAAAGGTAGGATAATGTTCTCTAAAAACATTCTTAAAATGTTTTTTGATGACCTTCTTTAAATGTTTTTGATAACATTGTTAGAACATTATGCCCTACTATTCTTAAAATGTTTTCAGCTGCAAGTGTTTTTGTTGTTCCCAGAATGTTCTTCTGAAAGGTAGGTTAACGTTCTCTAAAAACATTCTTAAAATGCTTGGTAATAACCTTTTTTAAATGTTTTTGATAACATTGTTAGAACATTATGCCCTACTATTCTTAAAACGTTTCTGTTGCCAGAATGTTATTATTTTAGAGTAGGATAACGTGCTTTACTTTTAAAACATTATGCAAATGTTCTGTGGTGACAATTTACAAAAAATATTTTAACATTATTAGAACATTAGGACATAATATTCCTGTAATTCTTCAACTCAAAATTCCTGGGTAACTGGACTGACCACTGTGGTCACTAGGATGATTTTGATAGTTTACTTAACTATCGGGATCTGACTATTAACACATGTAAAAGGATGACTCGGAATCAGCTGGTGAGCGTAACATTTGTTTATTAGAAAAGGGGAGCTGGGAGTGGAGGTTGGTTATGGTGGCAGTGGGAAACAGTTGTTCCAGGGTGGGTAGAGAGGCCTGGCTGGTCATGGGAGTGTGGAAGGCCTTGGATTCATCCCGGGAGAGACACAAAAATCAGTGTAAGGCAAAAGCAGGCAAAGTTGTCAAATAATCTGCTGGCAAAAAGCTAGAGCAGCATGCAACAAACCGTTCACGGCAACAAATCGTTATTTATACGCAGCCCTTACAAACCACACACCGCCAGATAGCTTATCTAACAGTTAGAACCTACAGACGAGACACAACCATTATAGTCAGAAAAAAATTGTGATTATTGGTGACTAAAAGTGTCTTTTGTCATGAAAAAAATAAACCTATTTGGTTTCCTAAGTATTATTCTATCAATATAGACAAGACAACTTTATTATTTCTTCAAGCCATGTTCATGATTTTGGGTTTAAACATTAAGAGAGAGCCGTCAAAAAGTCCACCTAGGCCTTTCTATAGGTGTCTAATTGTACTCTTATTGTTGATTTCAGGAAATGTGCAACCTAACCCTGGACCAGATTCTTGTGTTCATTTTAACACCCCTGCAGATTCTAAATCAAGGTCTTGGTCTCATCCATTTGAATGTGCGTAGTTTGATTGCTAAAATGGATATGATTTGTATTTGGGCACATTCAACTGATGCTGATATCTGAAACTTGGCTAACCAAATCAATTTCAAGCAAGGATATTTGCATTGACGGCTATAATGTGTATAGGACTGATCGACCCAAAAAGGGTGGAGGTGTTGCAGTCTATGTTAAATCGAAGTCTCCTGTAAAAATGATTCTCTGTAAACCACTGATAAAACAATTTGAACTTTTGGCTCTTGACTTGGAAGTATCAAAAGCGCTCGATATTACTGTTGTTGGTTGCTACAGACCACCTTCAGCTGTCAGTGATGCTTTACCATCTTTAATGCAGCTTTTGTCCAGTCTTAACTATGCTGAAATTGTCATTGTGGGTGACCTTAACTGGAACCACAAAAGTGGTGGGGCACAAAAAACTTAGAGGTCTATATATAAGCTTCTGCAGTGAGGTTCATGGCTGGTGAGGCACTGGCACTGACTCTTCAGGTTTACAAATATTATATTTTGATCTAAATCAAAATATAATATTATTTTCAAAAGCTTTTTTTGTCTAATTCTTCGATTCATTTTAAACAGACAGTTTAACAAAAAGATACCCAAAAAATGAAATTTTATCATTTAAATATTGAATTGTTCTCTCTTAGTAAGATCCCATTTTCAATAAAATTGCGGTCTTACCTTGACTTGAAGATGAAGTCCATTTGCCTATCCTTCTGGACCCCTGGCAGAAGAGTAGTCGGCGGGACCTCCAACCTCTATTACTTTTTTGTAAAAGTCCTCCTTATCTTCTTGTAGTTTCAAAAGTCTATCATAAATCGAATCGATAGATTTATGATTCGGAAATTATAAAAGTAGGGTAGTCATGTGGATATTATCCGGCTGAACAAAACGTGCATTTATCTAACAGGTACGTTTCCCACAGATCTTATTTTGAGCTATTTTGTAATGGAGAAATCTCATTGCTTTTTTGTGGAGGGAAGCCATGCGCAGCTTACTTCTGGGTTTTAGGACGCGTCACTGCAGCTCTCTGGTCTCCTCTTCACACACCACACTTTTCGCGGCACACGTACTTACAGCCAATCAGCTCTGAGTTATGTGAGATGACGTATGGTGGGGATGGCAGCTCAGTGCCC